AATATATCATTATAAATTTATTTATATATAATTCAACTTAAATTAAGTTTTTCTACTAACAGTCTCCATTATTCACTATAATTTAATTATATCATTTGTTCTAGTTGTCACTATAATTCAAGTTTATATTTATATATACAAATAATTGTAATATATAAATATAACGATTATAAATATATTTATATATAACTCAACTTGAATTAAGTTTTCCTACTAAAGCTTCCATTATTCACTATAATTCAATTATATTATTTCTTATAAGTAAGTAAATGAACTTCACTGGAAAAACTAGGAGTCATTGAAGTCTCTAATAGACCTTGTAAACCCAACATCATGCATACTCCAACAACTTCTTCCCCATAATACCAATATAATAACACCACATCTCTAAACTATCAAATACTCCAAACTCAGACACAAAAATTAAATATAAAAATAGAAAATAAAGTCCACTAAAACCATTTTAACCCCTCACACTTATATTCTCACATCAAACCTCACGAAGACAAGCTAGGAGACACTTGTCATATGAATAGACCGACACACAACGAATTTTAACTCCTTATCACAAATATACGTTAAATAATTAAAATTAAATACGTCTTCAGGCCACCCCATAACTGTCACGCACACTACCCACCTACTTCCTCCCAGCGCCGCCAATTAATGCAGAAAAATTCACGAAAAATCGAGCACACTCGCGTAAACTCGGTACCGCAACGGTTGCCTATCGCGCGTAGGCGTGTGTGACTATAAAAGACAGGGAAAAAAGGGAAAAAACGAGCGTAATATCGGGTAGATTAGGGCCGGGCTGTTGTGTAACGAAAAACATCTGCCAATCCGACATCACCTGCCCCGCGTTACCTATTTCTAGCTAATTTATCATCCGTTTCGACGATGCTAGGACTCGAAGGACGCCAGCTCCTTGGCCAGGCTAGATCTCAATACGAACCTCCGCTCTTTCCACGGACCACGGTCTTTCATTACGCGATAACATCTTAACTGCCACGCCAGCATGCGAATTCCCGATGGCGCGCGGCTGTTCCGCCGATTCGCGTTAATAGAGACCCGATATCTCTAGATTTCTCGCCGCGACGCTCGATGCCTGGATGCCAGTTAATTGTTTAACCGCTCGGGAGAAATTTCGTAGGAGAAACAGGTTGGGAAACGCTCCGGGTTCTAGCGAAAATGATTGTCTCGATGAGTATGCGTTTAGCGAGCGTAGTGGTTTTCAAGTTCGGTCCACGGATTTTTCGATTTCGGAGACGTGCATGTGTGAGTATCAAGGAAAATATTTGGTAACTCGGGTGATTCGAGGGTTTTGAAATTATATTGGGATTTTTTGGGGGAAAATTCGTGGGTTTATGTGAAAATTTGCGTGAGATTTCGCGTTATTTCAAAGGATTCAAAAATTTATTTCAGTGGATCGCTGATGATATGGTAATATTTATAGATTTTGGATAAATGGGTCAATAATTGTGAAGGAAGCCTAAATCGAAAATATTATTTACCTTTTGCCAATATATAGTAGAAGATTGAATCGTTAGATCGAGTTTGTAATTATGTCGCAATTAAGTGTTTTAATTTATGATATATCAAATTAATGAAGATTTTAATATATATAGAAATTTGAAATAGTCATGTGCATAATTTTTAAAAATAACTGAATATCGAAGGTAATATTTAACGTGATTTTTACCTATTACTATTTTAATTAATTTGATAATCCGTAAAAGATATTCTCTCAAATTGGAAAATTTTAGGAAATACTTTGAACGAGTTATATTTTCCCATAAAAGATTCGT